CCCCCGTGGTCACCCAACCCCTGCACCAAGGAACCGGCAAGGGGCCACAGAGTAGGAGACCAGCAACAGAGAGTAGAGGCAAAAAGCATGGGAGAACGTCCAAAGAGGATGGGGGCAATGGGGGCGCAGGGTTTTTCACGGTGCACCCCACGTGATGGCCATGACACTGCCTGGGTCAGCTGGGTGTCCCCCGGCCAAGCGGTGCCGTGCTGTGCTGTACGTGCTCTCTGTGGAGCCACAGGAGGAATTTGGGGAGGGAACGAGCAATTCCCGGGTTGTACTTCAGCCCAAGCAGTACGGGAGGGGTTCCTGTTGCAGAACATCCACCTGGTGGCCCGGTGGCTGGGCACGCTGGAGAAGATGGTGGAGCAGTACAGCCTGGGCAGCCACGCTGACTATCGGGTGTTCATGAGCGCCGAGCCAGCCCCCAGCCCCGAGGCACACATCATCCCGCAGGGGCTGCTGGAAAACGCCATCAAAATCACCAACGAGCCACCGACGGGCATGTATGCCAACCTGCACAAAGCCCTCGACCTCTTCACCCAGGTACCCTCGCTCCACCGCCCCGCTCCCCCCCACCTCGGCCGCGCTGCGCACAGCCGGCTCCGTTCAGGCGGCGTCGGCGCGTGCGGCTCACACCGGGCCCGGGGCTTCATGGGCTGAGCACCCCTGGGGGCGTCACTGCAGCCACAACGCTGCACCAGGGCCGGCCCACAGGGGTTTTTTAGCAAACAACCTTCTGTTCTCCTCTGCCGTCCTCTCTTAATGCTCCTCCATAGAGGGACAGCGCTGTTCACCCACCCTCTTGCAAACCCGTTTTTGGTCTCCCGCAGGACACGTTAGAGATGTGCAGCAAAGAAATAGAGTTCAAATGCATCTTGTTTGCACTCTGTTACTTCCACGCGGTGGTGGCCGAGCGGCGGAAGTTTGGCACTCAGGGCTGGAACAGACCTTACCCCTTCAACAACGGCGACCTGACCATCTCCATTAACGTCCTGTACAACTACTTGGAGGCAAACCCCAAGGTAGGGCCCCACACTGCGGCCCCGCCGCAGCACAACACGCACGCTGACAATCAACTGCTCTTTAAAAACTCATCGGCTTGCTGCACCAATGCTGTCTCTGGGGGAAACACAGCACTGCCAGCGGTTCTCACCCTCCTCCCCAGGGGGCTGCCTGCAGCTCCGGCAGGCGACGGCGCAGCATCCCTGAGCTGGGTGGAAAGTAGGGCTTTAGCACCAGGCCAGGTGCCCACTCTGGCTCACACCTCCCTGCTGTGGTGGGTTGGGTTTTTTTTTTAAATTACTTTCCACCTAAAAGGCAAAGCCTGCCCCGAGAATGAAGGTGCAGTGAGCAGGACTGAGGTCTCACCCTAGGGGGGTCCTGCTTCCCTCTGGCCCTGCAGACATGGTCAGGGTTGATCTGCGTGAGGACGGGATGATGGGGGTTCAACGTCCGGCTGGCGGTGTCCATGCCGGGACAAGGGGACGCTGGACAAGGGCCCCTGCTTGCTCCCCTTCACTCTGACACCGAGCCCCTGCGGGTCCAGGGTCTGTCACTTCCCTGGACGCTGGACAGGTCAACCCAGCAGCCATGGCTCCGTGGCTCCACGGCTCCACAGTCGCTTGCGGCTTCCCTGGCAGCAGGGGACTTGTGGGGAGCCACACAGGCTGCCGAAACCCCTCTCCTTGCAGGTACCATGGGATGATCTCCGGTACCTCTTCGGTGAAATCATGTACGGGGGACACATCACAGACGACTGGGACCGCCGGCTGTGTCGGACCTACCTGAGCGAGTACATCCGTGCGGAGATGCTGGAGGGGGAGGTGTGCTTGGCTCCAGGGTTTCTGATCCCTCCCAGCTTGGATTACAAGGTAAGAAAGGTTAACATTGCAATTGGCTGGGGGAAATCGCCATACTGGATCAACGCACACCAGTGAGAGTTCCCTCATGCTGATCAAGGGGGGATATAGGGGAAAAAAGGGGGAAAAAAGGTTTCAATCCTGTGGAAATATGCAGAATCGCTGCAAAAATAATTCCTGTGGCTGGGGTGGCAGGGGAAAAACTTCAGTAAGATGCGAGTAAAAAACCATCCTGGATAAGCAGTGCCGGGTAGCTGGCGTCACCAAAGGGCGACGACATATTCCCAAGGCTGAAGCGAACGCTCGGGCTCCTTTGTACGCCGCTGCTGAACTAATGCCGGCGCCTGCCCTGTGCTTAGGGGTACCACGCGTACATCGACGACAACCTCCCGCCCGAGAGCCCCTACTTGTACGGCCTCCACCCCAACGCAGAAATCGGCTTCCTGACTGTCACATCAGACAGGCTTTTTCGGACGGTGTTGGAAATGCAGCCCAAAGAATCGGACGCCGGCGGCGGCTCAGGTGTCTCCCGAGAGGAAAAGGCAAGTGGGGTTCCTGCCTCTTGATAGGAAATGACGACGATTCAGAGGGGCCAGGGGGGAGGACAGGTACGGGCCCGCACACAAGGGGCAGGACAAGATGAGCTGTGGTAACAACCGATCTCTCACAGTGCTGACAGCACAGGGATGCGATTCTCGCCCGGCACCCGAGCTGCCAGCCTGGAGAAGGGGGCGTTGCTAGCGCAGAGCCCCTGAGAAACGCCGCAGCTCAGCTGGGTGCTCCCGTCAAGTTTTCATTTGCGTGTACTCGCGCTTGGTTGCTCTCTGACCAGGCTCTCCTCTCCATTCCAGTAACTTCGCCAGTCGTTGGTGATGTATCTGAGCACGAGCGAGCGCTGCGCTGCTCTGCAGCTGCGGAGAAGGCAGCACCGGTGCCGCAGCCCGGGCCACCGCTGCAAATTTGTCCCTGTCCCACCTGCAGCTCCCTCCCCTCTTCCCCACACTAGGTCTGGGTCCCAGGCAGGCAGCTCATCACGCAGATGACGAGACCGTTCCCTGCCCTCCCCCAGCAGCTCAGAGAAACCCCAGGGGTGGAGGGAAGGGGCTGAGGCGCTGCCCGGGCAGTCTCGGTGTTCGCTCGGAGCGCACGGTGCGGTTACAGAAACCAGCAGCATTCAGAGGGTTCCTCTTTGATGGGGTTGAGGTGTGCTGGTGGCAAAATGAGGCTCACATCCCCAGCAGACAGAGCAGGCTTAGTAATTTCCATTCACAATGGCAACTACTAAAAATACAGATTTAAAGAAAAAAAGTCTTCCCCCTGCCTCCCTGGATCTTACACTTGAATGTCACAGCCTCTGTGGCTTCACTTCTTACCTTCTTGGCTATCGAAAAAGAGCTGCAGCTTTTTAAGATCCCAGCACAGTTCGTAAAAGAAGAGGGTATCAGTAACGGGGGGGGAAGCGCAGGAGAACATGACAGCAGCAGCAGAGAAACCTCACCGAGTTAGTAACTGTCAGCCCACCGCGTTTCCCTCGGTAAGAGCAGGTCTACGGCGCATTCCTTCCAGGTGAAGTCGGTCCTGGACGAGATCATGGAGAGGCTGCCGGAGCCCTTCAGTATGGCAGAGATCATGGCAGCG